AACTTAAGGAGACCGTCCAGAAGAGTTGTAGGAGATTCCGAAGTCGTCTGGAGGCCGTGGTTGAAGCCAATGGCATTTTTTTTAATACATTTAGTCTTTAGTATTTCAAGATACTTTTGTGTAATTTTAGTAAATATATCTGTTAAAATGAGATGTCAGTGTTATTTATATTTTGTGTAATTTAGATGACAACATATCAATCGCACTCAGTGTGTTTATATATATATATATATATATATATATATACTCACGCAAGGCATGCCAAAAATACCTCCCACATTTTAAACTCTCATCTGTCTGGTGCTAGTGAACTTTAAATGGTGTTTTTATCTAGCTAATATCCTACTATTATGTAGGAGATATTTCTGCCGCAGCCTGTACCTAATGTTTTATCATTATATGGAGGTATTTCTGCTGTGCTAACAAATCATAGGAAATGGATTAAATCCAGCAAATATTTTTTTAAGCATTTCACCCCAAGCAAGGCGGGAAGCCACTAGCACGCAAGGGGTTACAGAGAGTTGGAGTGAGTGCAAAGAGGAGTGATAGAGGGAAAGATGAACATTGAAAGGATTGATTTGAACAGTTGGAGATTATAGCTATCAGGGAAACAAGAAATGGAGAGGAAGTTCCACGGGCGAGAAGTGCGAGACATGAATCCATTGGAGTAGAAGTGACGGCTACATTTAACTGTTTAGACAGTGAAAGGGCGAGAGCGAGATGTCATCAGCCTAGTTGAACACTTGAAATCAAGAAGTCTGGGAACCAGTTTAATATATTTTCTGTTTATACGTTATTTTTATGGATACACTTATTTGAATAAATGCTGTGTTCTTTTAATTAAACAGTATGAATTACAGAAAATTATTAATTTAGAAACAGTAACAGCTCTTTAGTATTTCAAGATATTTCTCTGTAGTTTTGGTAAATGTACATATATGGATTGGGCGACAGACCAGTAAAACTTCTTGTAACACCAAAGATGAACTGAAGGCAATGATTATGCCAGCATTCAACAACTTAAACAAGGAGACTGTCCAGAAGAGTTGTAGAAGATTCCGAAGTTGTGTGGAGGCCGTGATTGAAAACAATGGCGATTTTACTGAATAAATTTATCTTTTAATATTTCAAGATATTTTTGTGTAATTGTAGTAAATATATCTGTTAAAATGAAATGTCAGTGTTATTTTCATTTGTGCGCCATTTAGACAATTTATCCATCGCACCCATATGTGTTTGTGCGTGTTGGATTGTTCGTATAATGTCACATTTTTCACCGGGGAATTATTTTCAAATGCAGCAATACAAATGTTATTTCTCAATAACAAAATTGTAATTCTTGGCAAGCAATTTGGAACAAAGAGGAAAAAAAGAGTTCCCGTGAAGGTGGCCATAGAGAGAGAAAAAATAAAGAGTCAAAGTTGATTTTGTAGAGTAAGACTTTTATTCTTTCGGCCTATTTTAGGATTTCTTAATCTGATTAAAATAAATCATCTCATTAAATAGCTATTGTTTATTTATGTACAGTTTGCATTTAATTAACGCTGTCAAATTAAACAAAATGTTTCCCGGGCGAAGACATAGTAGTGTTTCTATTTTAAATTAAAGTAGACTTCAAACAAATATGGTGGGTATTTAACTCTTAAGAAGCTAAGACAAATAAGGAAGATAAAGCTCAAGAAAAAAATATTATTAATGTTAGCAAACGAGGCAGCAATGTTGAAAAGTTCAACAAAATGACATGATATCATCCAGGTTCAGTTCCAGACATTTTCAACCCAAAAGGTCAACATTGGACAAGCATGTGGACTGTTTAAGAAAGAAAGATTTGTTCAGACTAGTGTTAGTCCACTTAGAAAGCTATAAATCAGATCATAGTTTATCCCGATTACTGTGATAAGATTTCTCAATTTTTAACTGAGTACGAATCGGAGTGGAGTAATGGATAGCGGCTCGGATTGAGGAATAAGAGATCCGATTTCGAATCCCAATCGAATTCATTGCATTAACTTACGTGCTAATACCCTTGGGAGGAGATGTGGGAACTTCTACTGATGTAGACATTGAAGTGGTGTAAAGCAAAAGATACCTGGATCACAATTTAACTTTTACGCAGGACTTTAACAATCTAATAACAAAAACGGCTATAATAACCCCACCCATCCCAACAGAGGCCATAAGTCAGCATTACTCTCCAAGGGATACCGGCGCCTGGACGTGTCAAAGACCGGACGTTTGGATCTTTCTTGGCCCCTTTGTGGCTTCCTTTTCACAACGTGTGTCCATCCGACAATCGCCACTAAACACACTTTACTAGATGATCTCTGTATGTGCCATTTTAAAAACCAGTTGATTTTTGAAAAGAAGCTGCCACCCAGAAACATTTGGTGACCAAGTTAACCGTCCTGAAGAAACCGATTTTTTCCAGTCGGTAAATGGACACTGCCCTTCCAGTTTGATAGCAGACACTGGACGTACCTGAAAAAGCTCGGGGCCCCATTTCAATTTTATAAAGAAATACGACTCATTGTCATCTAAGTTGAACTAAATAGCCTGGCATGATGTAGTGCTTAGCAAGGTAATCATGCAGACAATTCTTCTTCTACGATGTGCTGTGACCCTTCAGGACGTTGATGATCATGGCTCTTCACAACTTCCTTTCATTTGTTGCTCTTATTCTTTGTCTTTCTAATCCCTGAGATTGTTCGCTGTTTTCTTCTGTCCGTTACCTTCATTTTGCCCTGTGAGTGTCACATTTTCCAGGCCTTCTTTTCTCCGGTGTCCTAGAAATTTTACCTCTCTTTCGGATCCTAATCTTAAGTGGATATTTCGTTTCTATTTTCCCTAAAACTTCCTCATTATTCACATGTTCAACCCATTGTATTCTCAGCACCCTTTTGTTAAATTACACTTATGTTTCTTCACGTCTTCACTTCATCCGCGGGGAAATTGTACAATATTTTAAATTCAATATAGGAGGATTGATAACGAAAGGTTTTTAACGAAATTTTCTTGTTTCTTAATAGTTTGATTATTTTTTTGTAAGGCATATTTCGATATTTCCACGCGATTTCGGATTTCGGTGCCACATTTTCTATCTTTTGTTAAAGAAAAAAACACCAGTGTTCAGACGAACTACATTCATTAGCTTCATTAGTTATTGCCTTCACGTCTAAAACCCGCCATGCTACGCACATTGTAGCGAACCACCTTCATTACCTTCGTATTCCATTTGGGAGATGTAAGTTCTACTCAAGTAGCTTCTTCCTACGAACTTACTCCAAAGAGTGTGCTCCTCCAATGACTATTATCTCAACCTCTTCAAGTGTAGGGTCAACCGATATCTTCCCCACATATCCTCAAATACTGCGCCTCTTACTCCATGCCCTCTACCTCGAGTAGATCTTGAATCTTGTGCAAGGTGAACATCATTGTGAAAAAAAAACTGCTTTAAGATTATTAAAAGCATCTTTGTGACGAGAGTTCCATACTCGAAGGTTCTCGAATGTTTCTTATATTCTACTCAATTAATCTTATTACAAAACCATTAACAGGCTAGTCTGGTTGCCTGTTATAAATTATAGTAAGATGAATACTAGTGGCGGATTTAATTTTGAATCCCTGACGCTCATGCTATGGAAGCCGCAACGCAACCAACAACAACAGATTCGAAGATCCAACTGCCAAAATTTGAGCTACGAATAGATTCTTGCAGGCGCAACCAGCCTATATAGCTGCCGGTTCAGTGACTGCAAGTCTCCAAGAAAATTTTGAAATTTAACCAATTACAGTGGAATTTTGAAACCACATGAAATGAATATTATCTGAGGCCGACATGAGCCAAAGACTTGGTTTATGATTCTATCACAAAAATGGTCTTATTTTGATATCAAATGCTTTAAAAATTAAAACATCGTTTTTTGTTGAAAAATTGGCTCATTAAAACGAAGTTGCTTCAGGGACCCTCTGGAGTTCTTAAAAAAAGAAAAAATATTTGGGGATTTTGCTGAAAACATGTCAGCACTTTTTGCACCCTTTGCAATAATAATTTCCCGCAAGAAGAAAATAAGAAAAAGAAACAATATTTAATGACTATGTCCGACTAAACGCTTCAAAGCACATCTGTCTGCTAAGCTGACTAACTCATCTCTTCTGCAGACACCTGCTCAGGTACATTTGTGTTTTTTCAACACCCATACCTGCAGCTTATACTGCAACTATGCTGAATAGACCTTAGTTACAATTTCTGGAAGAGACCATAAAATCTATCATGATCAGCAGTTCAAACAGGGCCAGTATGCTCGACCTCTTGGTCACGATGCCCTGTGATTTCGTGCTAGTACAATCACCGAAGATATCCAAACAAATTCGTCTCCATTTCACTCACAAGGTTTGGGCCAAACCAGGGTATGGTTTTCAGGTACTTTCCAAAGGGTACCACACGCGGGAATCGCCTCTTCAGGCTGATAACATTAAGAAGACAGCAACCCGGCCAATTCATCATGCGCATATTCGAACACAAGTTGTATGGTAAAAAAGCAAACGTTCTAATCACTCGGACATGCACCTATAAAAAAAAATATACTATAGTATTTTAGGGACAACGCCGAAAGTATGGAGCACCCAGTAAGGATCAAAATCCCTATTCAGTCATCTAGCGAGAGAAGCTTGCTAACCATTACGCAAAGTCAAAGTGCCTAAGCCCAACCCGGTATAGTGATTTACTAAGCATGGCTTAGATGTAGTACAAATCAGAAAGTATGGGGTACCCAATGAGAATCGAACTGACTATTCAGCCGTAATTGATCTAGCGGGACAATTTTTCTAACTATTACACCATGCTGACCTACTGCGGGGAAAAAAACCTGCCTCGTCAGTCATGTATCAAAAGATACATAATCGCCAAAGCGTGTGTTACGCATGGCACATAACTGACTGAAGTGGCCAAGCTCAATCCAGTATATGTTGCTAAGATTTCGGTTTTTATCTTCGTTGTTTATCATTATAGACGGTGGATGTGCGGGTGGTGCAATAAATAGTGGCTCTTAATTAAAATTAGAGAGTCAAGTTCGAATTCCACTCTAATTTGTTACATTTATTCACGCACTAATCAGGAATTAAAGTAATAGTGGCAGAATATAAATACATTGCTAATGATTTTATTTAGTATAATAATGCATAAAAAATCCGAAAGTCTATACCCAGGAATTAATAAACATTACTGACATAATAGGGCCTGTCATATGCGGGTCTATCAAGTCAATCACTTTGGTGGGAGACACACGCATTTCAAAAATATCTTATTACTGACATGCCACCATGATTGAATGGGAGAGAGACGGAAAATCAGTAATTTAGACAAAAGACTTTCCTCTTCGTTTCGTTATCTGCTCAGACTTTAGTAACAGTAAAAAGCTGTTGCACACCTTGTCATCCTTGATAGGGGTCAGTCTATTTACGAGTATTCTTAATGTTTTCTTCCTTATAGCTTTCTGCCTATCGTCCACGAGTCTCTGTCCCCTTCAAACAATACCAATGCCTTAGACGCCTTCAACGTTGGCCGTTAATTGCTAGTATTATGTTCACGGCTGCGTTGTGACAGCCAGGTCAAAGGTTAACACAATGTTTAATGGCTTAATTTCGGCGGTAAAGAATCGCATTTGTGCTTTACTGGGCACTTGTAGGTTGGAAGGTGATATGCCGGATGGTTGGTGTGGTGGGGGAATTTCTAGGGTTGGGCTCTGAGATGGGTAGAGTGACAGACAAACACCAACTGGACCTGACATAGAGGAAAAAAATAGAGATATCTCTACGTGTCTGCGTTCGCGCCTACAAGCATAGCTTAGATGTGGCACAAGGTCTAAAGTAGGGGGTACCCAGTGAGAATCGAACTCACTACACAATCGTAATCGTTTTAGCGAGATAAGCTTGCTAACCATTACACCACCTCGAGCCGCCCTTCATTTCCTAAGCGCTGCTTAGATGTGGTACAATACCGATAGTTTGGAGCACCCAGTGAGGATCGAACTCACTACGCAGTCGTAATTGTTCTAGCCAGACAAGCTTGCTAAACATTACACCACGCCGAGGTGCCCAGGGTTTTTTTTTCTTTTGCTTTTACTAATGTTCACCCATTACAAAGCCCGAGAGCCTCTCAAGGTAAAAGGTTACTGTGTGGTGTTATATTTTGTGAATATATATATATATATATATATATATATATATATATATATATATATATATATATATAAGAATAACGTTTATAGAAATAGTGCCGGATTAAAAACCATTATAGAATGATTGTGTGCGTACACACGTGTGTTTGTCTTTATGTACGCATATATTATGTGTTTCTGTATAATGTCTGTGTTTATGCATGTATGACTGTGGATGTCTATGTGCTTTTAACATGTTTCGTGAATATATATATATATATATATATATATATATATATATATATATATATATATATATATATATATATATATTATATATATATACACACATAAATATATATATATATATATATATATATATATATATATAATATAAATGTTAGACAAAAACTCACACACACACACACACACACACACACACACACACACACATATATATATAAGGTAAAAAACAGTTCAGCTGAATCCGCTACCTTGCTTTCAACTTTACCTTATCGTCAGGTGATTTTACCAAAAATTAATAATCGCAAGTTAAAAGCTCTACACGTTATTTTTACTTTTATTTCATGCTCTTTTTTATGTATTATATATATATATATATATATATATATATATATATTTACACGTGTGCGCATGTGCCTGAGTGTGCTTACATGTGAGGTAAGAGGTAGAAGGTAAGAGAATCTCTCGGAGCGTTTGAAATTAGACAATGCGTTTGTAAGAGCTGGAAACGTTTAGACATTTATGTTGCAAAATGCACACATATACTCGTTGGTGTATATACAGAAACATTAAATAACATCCGAACATATAAATGCGTACAATCGAGTTTATATATTAAATCAGGTCATGGAGAAATAAACCTTGGTATCTTTATGAAAAAATTAGAATAACTTATCTTTCTAAATAAGATTCAATTTCATCTGCACAGTTCTGCAGATGTGATTTCTAGAATCAGAACGGCTTAAAAAAGGGAAGAGAATTAAACGTCACACACACACAAATATATATATATATATATATATATATATATATATATATATATATATATATATATATATGATGGACTCTCCCGTCGATTTCGACGTATGAGGTTCCGACAACTTTTTAATGACCTTTATGTTTGAATCTAGAGTGAAATTTCAGACCCGCTAATGACTTGCAAAGAAAGCCACAGATTGGGCAAGCGTGTGAGCAAAGAGGGTGCACTTCTCTGGCACCTTCTGAGGCTTTTTTCCTTTCTCTTGCTTCACGGAGCTTGACAACGCTTGCCGCCGAAAAATTCCTGATTCCAGTGTAAGTTACACTTTTCCAAGCTTTGCGA